CGACCCATAGGGGGTGCACGTGCCCCTGCTGGTCAGCACTTGCCACCCCCCCACCGTCGTCGACAGCGCTGTGGCCGCCTGCGGGAGCTCGCCGTGGCCCCCCTGCCTCCGGGGGCCTGCGGCATGTGTGATAACAGCATTTCATTTTAATAGCGGAAAGGCGCAGGTTTTGCAGGGGTGGGTTTCATCAGAGGGCTTGCAGTTTTGAAACACAGAAGGCCGGGCTCCCCGTCCTCACTCGCTGCTGGTTGTCGGAATAGAAAGTTGAACAGGCAGAAGTGAAATGGAAACTCGCCGCAGCCGCCCAGGCCTCTCTGCTAACCCGAGGGGTGGATTTTCTCACTAGAGGGAGCTGTCAGCTCGGCCAAACTGTAGCGTCCCTGGCAGAAGAGACAGAAACAGGGAAGCCCGCGCCCGCAAAGAGGAGCTGTGGGGTTCACCGCCGCCCGGTGAAGGTGGACAGCCCAGGGAGAAGCCGCCCGTCCCTTCTCGGGTGGACAGAAGGGAAAGGGTTTCTTTTCCCCACTCTCTCTTGACTACTGGACGCCAGCAAGAACCGAACTTTCTCCTGTCTCGCGCTCGTCGCCTTCTACACTGCAGCTTTTAGAGGAAAACGACTACTTTTTGCTCTGGGCAGAATGAGCTTTCTCTATTCGTTGACTAACTTTCACATGGGGTTAATTGGTGTTCGTTGTTTCCCCCGTGGGCAGAAAGCTGCACGTTTTGCTGCATAAAACCATGGGGGCTGGGGGGGGTTTGCAATGAAACATCGTTCTGGTGCAGCTGGAAGAAGTGGCCTGTTTGCAGAGCTCTGCTTGCAGTGTGGGCACTAAAACCCCCTTCTTTCAGGGCGCCCCAGGCTGCTCCCTTGAGAGCGAGCATCCCCCATGGGATAAAGGCTACGAGCGGCCTTGCAGCAGGGGTTAGGGGAAGCCTGTTCTCCAGCTACAAGGCTGTCCTCCCCTCCCCTGGATCGCAAGGCCGAGCAGCCACGTGAGCTCGGTGGAACACCTTATTCCTTTTCAGGCATCAGCGGATTAACAGATCCTTGTCGGGTGCGCTTTCTGCTGCTTAATATCAAAAGGCAGAAGAACAGTTGCCATGGGAGCCTCACAGCAGCTGGATGAGCCCATCTGCATGGGATTTACTCCCCTGATTAAGAAGCTGTCGAGCTGAGGGATGTCCTGCCCTTTGGAGGGCACGTCCTCCTCTGCCTGCTCACCACGGGTCACCTTCTGTCCTCTTTTTTTATCCAGCCCGGTCCAGATGGGGAAGCGAGAAGGCAAGCCGCTTCAGCCCGTTGCAGAGGGGCAAGGAGGAACTGTCACACCCCAGCAAGATCCAGTTCGGGTGGGGAGAGACTGTCTCATTCCAGCAGAGCTCAAATAGTGGGATGGCCGCCGCCAGGCATGATCTGGCTGGGTGGGTGAGGAGGGGTCTGCTTCAATCCTTGTAGCCTCCTTCCCATTCTCCTTCCTTCCGGTCCTTCTTTCCGCCTGCTGCCATCCTCTGGTCTCTCTCTTTCCCGTTGATCACAGGAATCAGAGAGGAGTCGGGCTGGAAGGGACCTCCAGAAGTCGTCTAGTCCTACCCCCTGCCTGAGGCAGGAGATCCCTATCTAAAGCTATCCTATGCTAATCCATCATCTAAACTATTTGTAAAACTACTGTCAACCCAGACGCCACACAAAACCCTTAGCTGCCACAGGTAGGCAGGGGGACCGCAGCAGCCCTGCTTCTGTGAAAGGTTGCTAATATACTTTCAAGAGGTCCCAGGTAGAGGGGTATCTTCTCCCTGTCTTCTTGTCCCTCTTCATTTTCCATCCCCAAGACCAACTCATACGTCATTTGGAATCAGATCCATACTGGTAGGTAGGCTAAACTTTTTATCCCTATCCTGGATTAGCAGAATAGACCAGGTCATGCATAGCCTAATCCAGGTTAAAAGAACATTGATTAAGGTTGCAAAGTAAAACACTTGAGGTAGGTTAGGTAGCCTGTGGGACCTTCATTCTGCCCCCTAGACATAATCTAGTCTTTAATTAAGTGCTGTCATACAGATAAAGAGCTCGTAATGATGAATGCAAGGTTGGCCACTCACAAACCCACCACCATCTTTGATCTGGTTTTGGATGAGGCCTCTGACCTTCATTGCATCAATACCACCTGGCTGAAAACCACCTTGGGCCCCTCTGCAGTTCTGCTGGCCCCTATGCGCGCGTGCATGCGTACGTGCATGCGTGTGTGTGTGTGAAACATAAGCTAACATTTTTTCTGTATTAGTGTAAGCTGTTAATACTTCTAAAACATTTGTTGCCATGATGCATACAAGGCTCTCTACTCTGCATACGAGGCCTGCTACTTAATATAAACTGAGCAGGATCCTAGGAGAATGGGAAGGGAGACGGTGACACAGCAGTCGTCTTCCGCACCAGCCTCAAGCCTCCAGATAAAGACTCCATGGATAAACTAATACATCTTTTGTCCAGCAGCGCCATAACCGCCCAGTTTCATCGCTCTCAAAACTGTATTGCACACCCAGGTGACACCACGTTGTCTGGATTCCTCATCTGTATGGGACCCATGGAAATCGTATAGTGTCTGGACCAAGATCTTCAGCTGGGTGCGTGGTGGATCTGATCATCGCTCTCAGAATAGAAAGGAAGGTTATCATCAGGGGTCCTGGTTTCCTCTGTTTAAAAATGGCAAATTCTCTGATAAAAACTCAAATTCTCTGATTAAACAACCTCAGACCTGCAATTGAACTGAAGCTCTACTATCTCTCTCTCTATATATACATATATAGGCATCAATTGAACATGCCGTTTTATTGGTATATGCTGCTGCTGCTGGGCAGGCAGGTGGTGCCTCACGGTAGCTGTGCAGGGCTCCCAATGGTGGCACCTGTTCTGCCCTGCCATGCTGGATGCCACCTGCTGGGCCACGGAGGGGGAGGGCAGCGGGGTGGGGAGCCCAAGCCTGCAGCGGGCAGCCTGCCCCATGCACAAATCTGGGGGGCATGTGCCAACTCTCCCTCTTCCAGGAGTGCGCGCAGCGGCAGGGAGCCAGCCCCAGCCCCCTTGCCCCGCTGGATGAGCTGCCCGTGGCCCTGTCCCACTCTCAACCAGGGCCCCTGCAGCCGCACATTCAGGCTCTAAGCCCCGTGCACCGCCCACGCTGGGCAGCAGCAGCATCCCCAGCCCTGCCCAACTCCATCCCGCACTCCCTATGGGGGCCTCAATCCCCCCTCGCCACTGCCACACTCGCCTGTGGGTACCGCTCTCCAGGCTCCTGGCGGCCCTGTGCACGTGTACGTGCACACAAGCACATGGAGCCCCCTGCTTAATCGCCTTCCTCCCACTCCCCCCAGCCCCTTGCAGGCTGGAGCTCTGCCAGCCTGCAGACAGCTCTTTGCAAAAGTGGAAAATCTGCGTGTTTCTCCATTAAAAGGAAAAATCCATGTTTTTCTCCATTAAAAGGAAAAATCCGCTTTTTTTTTCCATTTCCCCATGAGAAACAGGCAACCTGTATCCCTGGTTATCCTAACTTCCCACTGTCCTGAAGAAGCCGTTGCCTCTTCTAGGCAAAGATCGTGGTCTTCCCTCCTTCTCATTAGGGAACTGAAAGAAAAATTCTAATTCTTTTAAGTTTTTTAGCTCAACGGAGGTTAAACTCAGCAGCCAGGCAGCAGGGATGGCAAGCTGGTGAAGAAATAAACTTGCCGACTGATTGCTGCTGTTAACATCCTTGGCTCAATCAGCCATCTGCCCTTATACTGACCAAGACTGCCCACAGACCGTCTCGGGTGAGGACCGTGGTGGGCACAAGGCTAGACTGCTGCGGGTGTAAAACCCACTCCAAATCCATCTGTCAACAGCACAAAGATGTCTTAAAAGGCCGTGCCACTGCGCAAGAGCATTGTATCCTCCCTCACAACCATAAAACCGCTGCTGGCAGAGCTGTTCCAACTAACCCACGTAG